CACTTCCAACAAGTGACGAGCTGGCGTTCCCACGAACAGACTACGGAAGGCTGGGACTCCAGTCTCGATGGGCGCTGTAGACTGGTTCGCTCCAAGGAAGCCGCCATGTTGGAGGAGCCCATGTGCCCAGGAACCCAGGGCAGCCCCTGCCCTCTGCCGGCAATGAACCCTGCCAACTGCCACCTGACAGAACTTGGAAGTTGATCCTTCCCCAGCTGGATCTCGAGACCGACACCACCCTGAATGATACCTCAGCTGCAGCCCGGGACAGACCCTGAGCAGGAGACCCAGTTAAGTGACATCCCAAGTCCTGACCCACAGAAACTGAGATCATGAAGGCTACTGTTTTAAGCCACTAAGTCTGGGGGCACTTTGTGACACAGGTAACCGATACAGGTGGTGTGGGACAAGGCAGGGTCGCGTGCTGGCTTTGTGACCTTCACGCTGTCCCGTGACCTTAGCATCACTGAGCAGTGCCCTCCTCGGTTACCCAGACATGGCAACATCCCTCCCCACAGGGCCCCATAAGGGACAAATAACGTGATGCGGCTCAAGCGCCCAGCACAGCAAATAACACGGAGATTGTGCTGCAAGGCCGACTCCTCCGGGAAGCCCTCCCCACCCCCCCAGTGGGATCTCGCCTTCCCTTCCTCACACACCCTAGTCGAGTGGCCTGCGTCTCCACACCAAATGCTTTTTCTTCCCCTGGCCTTCCAATCCTCCACCCCTGAGCGCCTCCTCCAGGCCTGGCCTTGTGGGGTGCCGGGCCCCAAGGCTGGGGACAAAGGCAGAAGTAGAGCGGTTGGGGGTCCAGACTGCAAACCGGCTGCAAACACCAGACCCAGCAGCACCCCAAGGCCACAGTTGCCACAAACGGGCTCCACGGAGCCTCAGGGTGCGGGACGGACTGGCCGGTGCAGGCTCGAGGCAGGAGAACAGGGGTGTCGGATGCATTTCCCAGCAATTCACTCTGCCCCTGAAATGCTCACCCCCAGAGGCAGTGACACAGCTACCTGGAGAGCAGGTGGCCTGGACACGGTCAGCTGACTCTCAGAAGCTCAGCACATCACTTCCCCTCACAGAGCCTCAGTTTCTCCAAATAGGTAGTTCAGAGTTTCTCAAAGGGAGCTCACAAGTGATTTTAAAGAGTATCCCCCAAATGCTTCTACTTCCAAAGTTATTTGGGTCCAAATGTATTGGGAAAATAAGTATACAACTAGCATATCAAACCCTGAGTTCCAGAGCCTATTGCTTAGATCGTAAGCATTAAAGCTTTAAAAGCTGATTTCAATAAAAACATTAAGCAAATGATAAAACTGATGGTACAAGGATACGACCTAAATCATATGATTGTCATATGTGAGACATATGACATATGATTGTGAGATTCTGTGGACTCCTATTTCTTGACGAAGGAGTAACTCCTCCTATGTCTCAGCTACTGTTATCTTGTATCTTTTCATGGCAGCCAACCCTGCATCCTCACTCACGCAAGGAGCCACGCAGCTAAGGAAAGTTGTTCAAGGTAGAGAGAATAGCAGGTGCCAAGGCCCTGGGGCGGGGACTAAATTGGTTCCTACCTCAAGGCTTCGGGGCCTTGCGCTTGCCCACACTGCTCCCTTGAGGTACAATGAGTAAAACACCTCACAGCACAGCGGTCTGGATGAGCAAGACTGGGGCAGAGGCTCCGGAGCTCAGCAGCCTGGCCCACCCCCTCCCTGTGGCCCCACCGAAGCAGTTCCTCATGGTGGGGAACTGTGCTGCAGAGGCAGGGGTCCCCCGAGGGTAAAGCCTGTGTTATCTGTGTGTCCCAGGACCCAGCCCCCACCTGGCAGAAGAGAAGTCTCCCTGGATGTCGCTAATAAACAAAGGAGGGGCTCTGTTGACCTGTGAGCTCTGCAGGCAGACACCGGGCGGGCAGAGAAGCAGCCACGTCAGAGGATGCCAGAGGACAGGGTCAGGAGGAGGAGGCCAGGGTGGCACTGGGCTCTCCACTCCTAGAGGGGGTAGGGCAGGGGCAGGACTGGGAGGCTCGGGGCAGTGAGTACCAGCACTGGGAGAGCGAGGAAGGACGGGGTGAGGGGGGAGGGGCCCCAGGGTGAGGCCGGGACAAAGGTGGTGCTACATTATCGCCTGACTGGGAAGAGAAGATCTCACTGTCTCTGCCTCCTCAGCCGCCAGGGCCTGTGGGGCCACAAGCTGGTTCGTCCGGGGGCAAACTCCACAGCCGGGTATGAACGGAGGACGCTTCCTTGCCAAGCCTGGGCCCCAGCTCTCCTGGTGGCACCCCACCGCCCCGCCCGGGCCTGGCCTGTCCCGTCCACGCTCTCCACTACCGACTCTAGGAAAATTGCCGGGCAAGGCTTCCGGATGCCAGCGGGACCTCCCACGGCCAACGGATTCAAGCAGACCCCTGGTGGGGCCTCCGGGGGGGCCTCCCGCCCATCCCTGCCCCCCAATCCTCTCTGACGACCCTGGATGGCCAACAGTTCTCAGGGCAGTGTGGGGCCACGCCCCGCTCCCAGGGGCTCACAGCACTGGGACCGGAGCCTCGTGCTTTAGACCACACCACAGCGCAGGCAAGGAGGAGCCTCGGTTTTCCTGGAGGAGAAATGGGGAAGAGGGGGGAAAGGACTCTCGAGAGACGCTTTGTGTTGTGGGGAAACTCCTGGCCCAGGGAGGCTGGGCCGCAGGCGCCCTACGTACAGAGGGCAGAAACCAGCAGTCCTGCGAGGGCACTGTGCTGCCCTGGGCTCCAGCGCTCACCGCCTCTGGGCTCTGCTCCACACGCAACCTTCCCACTGCGGACACACCTGTCCCTGCTCCCGATCTTCTAGAGCTGTCTGATTGGCTTAGCTCCGTCCGATGCCCTATTGGACAGAGCGCTGAGGGCCAGCCCCCTGGGCACAGGTCCAACCTATGGCTGCCCAGCCCTCGGGTCAGGTGCCCACCCTCATCCAATCCGAGGCCTCCCCTGGCTGAGGGCTTAACTGGAGACCAGCGCTGGGGCAGGTAAGGACGCGGAGGGCATGCTGAGCTGGGCTTGCGCTAATCGTGGTTTTTTTTCAGTGTGACGCATCTGGCAGGGGATGGGGGGGGGGGGGTGGGCAGAAATCGGGGAAGCGTGCGGGACACCTTTCCATTCCTCTGTTCAGTTGCAGAGCATTCCTGAGTCTCAGCACAACCTCATGTCCCGCCCCTGCCTCCTCCCTGGCAGCCCTTCCCCCTCCTGCCCCTCGCCACTCCCCACCGCTCCCCACTCCAGTCCCCTCTCCCCGAATCCATGCGGTGGCTTCGTTCTGTGCGCATTTATCGAGCCCCTGGCATGTGCCAGGCGCTGCAAGGGGGCTGGGGTTTCAGCTGTGAAGGGGGTGGACCCCTACCCACCACGGAGGGACATCTGCAAAAGCCGTCGGATCCCATGAGCTGCCACGAGGGATGTTGCTCAAACCCACATCTGACCAGGGCCCCTTCCCCTGTTTTAACACCTTCAGCGGCTCCCCATCGCCCTCCGGACAAGGCTAGACCCTGTGGTTGGGAGAATACTGGCCCCCAAAGTTGGTCTGTCTTCTGGAACCCGTGGACACGTTCTCTCCCCGGCAGAAGGGATTTTGCAGAGGTGATTAAGTTAGGGAGATGTTCGTGGATTATCTGCGTGGGTCCAGGGTCATCATGAGGGGCCTTTAAATGTAGAAAGGGTCGTGAAGCTTCTAGAAGCTAGAAAAGGCAAGGAAACAGATTCTCCCCTGAAGCTTCCATCTGTGTGGACTTCTGACCTCCAGAGCTGATAAATTTGTGTTGTTTCAAGCCACTACCCTTGTGGTAATTTGCTGTGATGGCAGCAATAGGAAATCAATACTACCCCGGCCCCTTCCCCGAGTCCCCCAAGGCCTGCCTGCCTTCCAGGCTTGAAGGAGCCTCTCCCCTCCCCCAATGCCCTGAGCCCCCTCCTCCTGTGGCCTTCACTCCTGCTGTCCCTTCTGCCTGACCTGCTTCTTCCAGGATGTGGCCAGCGACCCTTCCCCCACCTAGATCTCCTCCCAGTGTCCCTCAACGGAGCCTTTTAGATCTCCAGGATTCTCTAAGCAAATGAGGAATTTGTTGGAAGGTAAAGGAGTAGTCCGTGGCCTCCAGACCTTGAAAAGGACAGGCCTGGCGTTTCCAAAAGCGCTGAGCCTCAAGAATGAAAGCACAGCCCCTGGAGGGCCCCTCCCGGTGGGCTTGGTAGTGACCGTCCCCTGCTCTTTGGTTCTACCACTCAAGACCCAAGTTCTGGCTACACAGCCAGCCAGGGTCAAGATGAGGGGAGACACCTTAACTGGCGGTTCTGCCCCGATCTGAGGCCCCAGAAAAGGGGATTTCAGAAATGTACAATCAACAGGTGTCCCCTGCCCCTCCTGGGCCACCCCCCCCCAGGGCTGTCACCCCCACCAGGGTACATTTCACCCTGGCAGCCCCATCGTCCCTAATCCCGCCATGCGTCCCCTAAGGACAGATAGCGGAGTGCTGACCCCCGCTTGCGACCCCTCCTTGGGTGGTCTGCCCTGCACCTTCCTGAGCAGGTGGCATCCTGAGCGGATGCGGGCGCTGGAGAGAAGGCGTGCCAGGAATCCTGCCTGCAGCCGCCGGGAGCCCAGAGGCTGAGGGCCCTAGGGATGGGGACACAGCCCTGCAGGGCAATCAGAGGAGCCTAGAAGGAGATAAAACGCGGTCTGTCCGCGCACGGAGCATCACTCGCCCGCGAGCGTGAAGGGGGCTGACCCCCGCTGCGACATGCATGCACCCTGAGGTCCGTGAGTGACGTAAGCCAGTCCCGGAAGGACAAACACTGTATGATCCCACTTGCCCCAGGTACGTAGGGTCTTCAGATTCATAGACGCAGAGAGTGGAAGGTGAGTGGGGGGCAGGGGCTGGGGGAGGGGGTGAGGCTTAGGGTTTCGCGGGGACAGAGTTTTCAGGTGGGGGGAGATGAAGACCGTTCTGGAGATGGATGGTGGTGATGGGTGCAGGACGGTGTGAATTTACTGAAAAATGGTGAAGTTGGGGGCGCCTGGGGGGCTCAGTCGGTTAAGCGCCCGACTCTTGGCTTCGGCTCAGGTGGTGATCTTGTGGTTTGTGAGTTCGAGCCCCACGTCAGGCTCCGCGCTGACAGTGCGGAGCCTGCTTGAGATTCTCTCTCTCCTCTCTCTTCCCCTCCCCTGCTTGCTCTCTCTCTCAAAATAAATAAACATTAAAAAAAAAAATTTAATGGTGAAGAGGGTAACTTTCATGTTATATATATCTTACCAGAATTAAAAACGTTTAAAAGGGGGGGACTGCGAACTGCACCATCTACCCCAGCCGGTTTTGTGCAGCCACGAAACCCTCTGTGTCATGTCCAAAGGACACCTTGTTCCTAAAGCTGGGAGAGCAGGGCTGCCCAGCTTGAGGTGAGGAGTGAGACCCCACAACCACTTTCGCAGCACCCCCTCCCTCAGCACCACCCCTGGGGGGACCCCCAGAGCTCAGCACCCCCCTCCCGGGCTGGGGGAGGGCGGGGCTTGGAGTCCAGGGCTCCACAGGTGGGGGCAGGGCCCGCCAGAGCTGCCGGGACCCCTTATTCCCACCTGGAGGTCCCTGAGGGACGAGGTATGGCCTGTGGGTTGCAGGGCAGCCCGGCGTGGGCAGAGGGCTCCCGGGAGGGCGGGCCTCCTCCGAAGGTCAAGTCAGGACTGCTTCCTACGGGGCAGATGGGGCTAAAGGGGCACATGGGCTACAGTTCTGCAGACGTTTCCAAAGATTCCGAGATTGTTAATTCAAGTGCAGGAAAAGTCCTGGGGGAAATGGTGGTCCCTGTTGGAAGTTGAGCGTATTTGGGGAGGGGGCAGGGGCTCATTAAACCCACCAGGTCCCCCTGCCCCAAGGAAAGGCAGGGCCATGCAGGGGGAGGAGAGAGGAGGAAGGGAAGGCCCCTAGCATAGGAAGGGGGGGGCAGACAAGAAGAAGCTTCAGCACCCTCAAAATAAGGCCCTTGAAGTGCATCATCTCATCTGAGCTTTGTGGAGGTGGACTGTCACCCACATGTCACAGAAGAGGCATCTGAGCCACCGACCCCTTACGGAGCTTGCCCAGGGAGCCACAACTCCAGCGTGGCAGCTCAAGTCCATGGGCACGCCCTTCCGTGACCTCAGAGCACCGCATGCTCCAAGAAACACAGTCCCCAGGCTATGGCTCACTGACCTCTGGCTAGTAATCACTTAGTCATTCTGCAAACCGTTAACCGACCGCTCTCTCTCTGGATCGGTACTAATTAGGATACGTTTTGGCTGCTTTAACAAATGCCACGCCCGCCCCCAAACACTGGGTTAAACAAGATAGCAGGGTTTTTCCCTCACTCATGACACAGTCTGAGCATCAGCAGTGCCGGCTGATGTGCTGGTGACCCAGGTTCTTTCTACCTTGTCGCTCTGTGGTCCCGCTTCTATCCCATAGTTAGTGTGGCTGCTGCGGCTCCTGCCATCGTGGCTGACATCCAGCGGTAGGTACAGGGAGAAGGAGGAAGGAGAAGCCACCTCTCTTTTCTCTTGAGACAGGACCCAGCAGCTCCACAGGTCACATCTCACATGTCATTGGCAAGGATCTGGCCAATAGCTACATGCAGCTGCAGGGGGGCTGAGAACTTCAACGGGCAGCTGTATGCCCAGCTCGGATTCAGGGTTTCTTTTACTTCCGGAAGGAAGGAGAATGGATGTTGGGGGGCAACTCGCAATCTCGGCCACTAGAACACAATCTCTCCTCCCTCCCGGGACCATGGTGAACCAAGGTCATGAGTAAAAGGCAACAGGAGACTGCAGGGGGAGGGGACAGGAGATCTGAGGAGGAATCTGAGGAGGCTGCCTGGGGGAGGCAACATCTAGGCCAAGCCTTGGAAAACAATTCAGGTTTGGGAGGGAGAGGAGTTCCAGGAGAAGGCAGTGAACTAGCGGACGGAGCACGGGTGGAGAAACAGCGGTTCAGTGTGACCACCGCGAACTTGGAGGCGGAAGTCCTGGGTTCGAGTCCGGAGGCTGAGTCAGCGTAGCGAGGTGCCCAGTCTCCCTGAGCCTCGGTTGGCTCCCCATTGAAAGGCTGATGGCCTCCTTCACACCTTCTCATGGGCCCGTGCGGAGGCAGGTGCTGGGAAGTGCCTGGCGCTCGGTGGAGTCAGGATGCTTCCATGGTGGGGTGTCAGGTCGGTGTGGGCAGGGGCAGGCGATAGAGCTGCAAAGGGAAGCAGGGGACCACCCCCCCCCCACCCCGCCCCGGAAGCCAGGCCAGGTGGTTTGATGTTGTTCAGAAGCTGTGGGCAGTTACACGGCAGGGCGGTATCCTGAACAGAGAGCAGCTCTGCAAACATGAGTCTGGAAGATGGAGACGAGGAAGTAAGGTCAGAGGCGCAGGGGCCCAGGAGGAGGCGGCCCCAAGGTCCCCAGAGAGACTCCGTGGCGAGGAGCAGCCGAAGCCCGCAAGCCGCGAGATCTGGGCAGGCATCTGGGAAGACCACCCGGAGGAGGCAGCCCCAAGGTTATGCCAGCCAAACACAGCAGCAAGCAGGGCTTGCCCCAGAGGACCAGCAAGGGAAGGAGGGATGAGCTGAAACCAGGTGATGCCCAGGGCAGACAGAGCCTCCCTCCGCCTGGAGATGCCCCCACCCCAAGCACCCAGGGCGCCCCCGGAGTGGACCATCACATTCCTGCCGACCCCCCAGCACACTCCAAGGTGGAGCCCAGGGAAGGCTGATCCCTAAGGCCACATGGCAAGGACTTGGGCTCCACAGTCAGACCCAAAGTACCCAGCACTGTGGGTCCTTCTGGGGCTTTGAGATGTCCTTCGGAAATATATCATCATCCTGGACTCGGGAAGGCTTTTCATCCTGAAAAAGGATAAGACCAAGAACTGCTTTACCCATTTTCTATCCTCGAGGCCCCCGTTATGAAGCAGGAAGAGTTACCCCATTGAACAGAGAGACAAACTGAGGCCAGAGAGGTGAAGTCGTGTCCCCAGGTCACACTGCCCAGGGGGTGATCGGCAGGATTTGCATCCAGGTCTGTGACTGGCCCTGTTTCCCACGATCCTCCTCCTCCTCCCCCCCCCCAGACCTCTCTCCCCTCCCCCGCCCCCTCCCCCGCTGCTTCCCTGGCTCTCTCTCACGGAAGAGAATATGCTCTGAGTCTCTGTTTCCCTGGGAGAAATCCATTTTCAGAATCTGGAGGTGTTGAAATGTGTTCTTTTTTCCTCTCCAAAGAGCCCTTCTTGAGGACAGAGGTGCCCCGAGAATCCCTCTGAGGCCACCACCAGCCAAGCTAGAGCCTGGGGCTGCCCATCGAGGAGGGCACGGCCCCCACAGTGGGCCCCAGACAGGGTCTCCGGGAGGTGACCTCATCCATCCTGGCACAGTGGACAGCTGGGCTGCTCCAGGAGCTCAGGACATGCCTGTGACCTCCAGCCCCAACCTCAGAGGACACTCCTCTGCCCTCTAGCCCGCCTGCTTACAGGGGCACTCGTGCCTCCCCAGAGCAAGGCAGTCGGTGTCCCCACCCGCCCGGCAGAGGTGCCCGGGGCAATTCCATGCTGCCTCCACCAGACTGTCCCTCTCTCGGTGACAACTGGCCCCAGGATGGTCACAGAATTCTCACGCTGGAAAGGGCACAGGCATTGCTGTGAGCATCTGATGACCCACAGAGCCAGCCCCGGGGGAGCATAGTTGTGGGCACAGGGGGTCACTTGCAGAGTGGAGAAGGGAGGGAGAGGGCAGGTGTGAAGGGGGTGAGGGGGAGGAGGGGAGAGAGGGGGAGGGCGGGGGTGGGGAAGGGAAGAACACAGGTGGGGTGGACCTGGCTTCCCCACACGTGCACACCTTTCTCCTTCGGGCTTTTGTCCCAGCACACTCCCATGGCACCTGCCCCAATACCCCCCAGCCTGCCCCTTCCAAAATCTGCCCTGGCCCCAGGTCTGGCCTCTCCCTCTCCATCCTGGTCACTGCCCACTCCCCAGGTGCCACTGACCACAGCTTCCTAGGGCCGGACTGGACTCACCTAGGCTTCCAGTCCCCCCACCCATACCGGGATCTGCTAGGAGGCCCCACCTGCCGACTGGCCACGCCCTGTGGGGACCCATGGCAGGCCTGGGGGCTTGGGGAACAGTTCCTAGAGCTCCTAGAGCCTACGTCCCAGAATCAGGGACTCGTCGACTCCTGGGCTTAAGCCTGGAAGGGTCCAGCAAGGTCAAGCTACCCATGGCCCACCCCCAGGCCCCCATAGCACCGCGGGAGCTGTTCTGGGTCTCAGTCATACACCTTGAGGACAGGAAGCAGGCTCCACTAGGGATACCCCAGGACATCAGCTGAGGACGCTCACGGACTGGCCCCATGGGAGCCTCCCACAGGGCAGACAGGTCGTGATTCTATCCGTCCCCCTCCACCCCTCAGCCCGGAGGCTTAACCATAAGAGGCTCCGGTTCCAGATAAACCACCCCCGCCCCCCAGGAAATAACCCCCTGGGCAGGGAAGGGGGGCAAGATGATGGGCCCTGGCCCAGAAGGACTCCCACCCCTGCCTGTCCCCTCTTCCCAAGGACTTGCCCAGCAGGCCAGCTAACAGGTGAACGGCAAGGTCATCAGAGTCACAGAAGGAGATCACACACCCAACTCCTGCACCCCTGCACCCACCACCCCCACTAAAGGGAGCCCGTAGAAGCTTCCGGAAAGAGGCAAATTGTTAGTGGCAGGGACTAAGCCTGCCTCCCAGACTCTTCCATCTCTGTCTGACACCAAGTCCTGAACCGGAAGTCCCTTTACAACTCACCAAGTGCATCCCCATCACACAGGTGAGGACAAAGGCCCGGAAGGGCAGGAATGCTCCCCTAAGGACTTGTCAAGTGCATCAGTTAGCCCCAATGCCATCTGGACCACAGGAGATGGACCTCCCTCCCCGTCCCTGGAGCTGACTGTCCTCCAGCTTTGGGCTGTGGGAGGGGAGGGGAGGGGAGGGGCGAAGGGGAACACCAGACACTACCTACCCGAACGCGTCACCCCTCAAGATCGGGCTTCTGAGTCCGACGGGCCTGGCTCCGGTCCAGCAAGGGCACGGCCACCAGGAGGGTGGGGGCAGGGATGCAACCACCGCCAGAAGCCCGGGTTCCCGTCCTGCTCCATCCCCGTGGCACAGAGTTCTTCATACCTCCCTGTGCCCCATCCGCCGCCGGGTAGCTCTGCGGGGCCCTCAGCCCCACGAGGTGCTCACCCACGGCCTCCCCGAGCCAATGGGATGTGAGCAGACACACAGCGGTCAGTGACTTCACACGGGTTCGTGCACGGGGGCTTCTCTCTTTCCGTGCCCCTGCCTTCCCCATGAGCCCAGGCCTGGGCAAGCCTGCCAGAGGACGAGCAGAGCCACCGCTGTCCCAGCTGGGGCCATGCTCGGGTGGCCGACGCCAGGGAGCCCGGCAAGGTCAGCAGGGTGCCAAACCCGGTCCGGCTGAGTCCCGCAGCACGTGAGACACGAGCAGGTATCCCCGCCGTGTGGTTGTTACCCAGCATTACTCTGGCACCAGACGGACCGCAGTCCCTAACGCACCGGGTAAGATCACCTGCTCGGAGACGGCCGGCAGGCCCCCTCGAGGAACGGAGGTTCAGAGAGGCCGAGGGCTCGTTCGAGGTCACACTGGGGGCGGCTTCGGATCCCGAAGCTCTCCTGGGGCCCGCCCCCCCCCCCCCCCCCCGTGTGCTGGCCTGGCAGACAGGCGAGCCCGTCCCAGCCTGCCCTCCAGGAGCCCACGGTCAGTGAGGGAGACACGGGTAACCAGAGAACGCGGACCGATTCAGGCATTTTGGAAAGTAAGGAGGAGAGGACAGGTGCCCCGAGCCCTGAGGGATGAGGCCAAGCTCTGCAGCGGGAGAATGAGGACGCGTGAGGGCCTTCTCGGTGGTGGCCACGCGGTCACCGCCATCAGCCCCCACTCGTGGCCCGGGACGGCCTGACCCCGGCGGTGCAGGTGAATTTCACCCTTGCTAGAATGGGACCACCGGCCACCACCTTCTGCCCGATCAGACGCCAGCAGAGGAAAAGCAGTCACACACAGCTGCTGCCTCCCCAGCCCCTCCGGGCCACCTGAGAGCAAAGCGAACCCACCTGAGGGTGCGGCTGGTGCGCCGGGGACACAAGCTGTCCGGCCCGGGGGGGGCGGGGCCCTGGCGGCCTCGCTGAGACACAGCTGGGCCTGGAGGCGGGGCTTCTCCTGGACTTTTTTTCACCCTTCAGAGCCAGTAAATTCCTCCTTAGCTCAAGTTCCTTTGGATGGAGCTTCTGCCATGTGCACTCCTAAAGGGCCCTATCAAAACACAATTGCTGGGGACAGGGAGGTGTCCAGGGGCCAAAAGACTTCACAGAGATGGGCTTCTAGGAGGAGGAAGCCCCAACTTCCTGACCTGGCGGTGTCCGGGCAGCGTTCCAGCAGGACCTTTCCTGGGGGCTTCCCCCAGCAGTGGGGGGGAAGGAGCTGGGGGGAGGAGTGAAACAAGCTGGCAGGCACCAGGACGCAGGCTCCCGAAGCGCCCAAGCACAGTTGGAACACGAGTGCACGGCGCCTCGCGTGAGCTGGGGCTCAGGGCCGTCAGTCGCTGTCATCTCCACAGCATTCGCAAGCACTAGGCTCTATCCCAGGGGCTGTGTACACACGACCAAACCTTTTCTCACAATAACTCCTCGAGTCAGGGCTGAAAGTTCTGCCCATTTTACAGATAACCCAGGTGGAGGCACAGAGACTTCAGGTAACTTGCCCGAGATCACACAGCCTGGCTGTGGCAGAGGGAGTATGCAGACAGAGCCACCGCCACAGAGCCTTTCCTGCCCTTTTGCGTCCGCCACCTGCTCCAGAAGGTCCTACGGAAGACGAGGAACCTTCCACGCACACACGTGGAGAGAGGCCCAGAGCGCTCCCTCCCTGAGCAAGCCTACCCCTCCCGGGGCCCCAGCCAGGCTGGGGGGCTCCTGGAGGACAGACAGCGTGCCTGGCCCACTCTGTGTGCCCAGGACTGCCGTGGGAGCCCAGCGTGGAGCAGGGCTTCAGGGTGGGGGTCCCAAAAGAGCAAAGGGCTCAGGCGGACCCCCTCAGCTCAAAACAGCCTGGGGCTGAGGTGAAGCATCACCAGCAGGCACACCCTCCATGGCCTCACCAGGGCCCCTCTCTTCTCTGAGCTCTCCCTGCCAGCAGACGTGCGCGCGCGCGCGCGCGCACACACACACACACACACACACACACGTGCATACACCTGGCGTGGCCCTGCATACACAACACGTCCACGACCTCAGCTCAGAAAACTGAGGCCCAGAGAAGCAAAGGGACTTGGGGCATCTCTCTGCTGGCTGTTTGCACCCCACGTTTTTCAAGGGAGGGTGAGAAACAGATGTAGCAGATCGACTCGAAGGCGGCCCCGCAGCCGGCCTCAGGGTTCAGAGAGGGTCTGTCCCTCACACACAAGTGGCCCAGCACCCCAGAACCCCTCCAGCCCCAGGAAGGCCCCAGGCCACCACACAGGGTCTCTGGCAGGTGCCGGCTCACCGTCCAGAGGGGCCTGGCCGGGCACCAAGAGCTGTGTCTGCACTCGGGGCAGGAACACCAGCGCCCAGGCTCTGAGGGGAGGGGTGGGCCAGAATGTGGGGGCCGGAGCCGTGGCGGGGGCAGGGCAGGCAAAGGAAAGGCCGGGCAGGAGTGAGTCACAGGGCCACAAGGCCACAGTGCCTTCTGTCCTCCAGTGGGGGTGCCACCAGCCCCGAAACAGCACGTAAGTCCTATAAAACATCCTAGAACCTTCTGGAGTGGTGGAGGGACAACATAGGGAAAGCACTGGAGAGTAGCCACCCAATCTCCTTGCAATGTCGACGAGGCCCGAGGGAGAGAAGGGGCAGGCCCAGGTCACACGGCAGGCGGCCAGGAGCCCCAGGCCTCTAACCCTGGAATGCCGCCCAAACCCCTGCGGCGTCCAGGCCCTGGGACCCTCACAAGCTCTCGTGGCCCAGCTCGCAGCCTGCCCCACCACCATCTCCCCCGTTTCTGCCTGGAACTGCATGGAAGGTGTCAGCTGGGGCCCGTCGTGGGAGGCGGTAGGGAGACCTGATGTCTTGAGGACCCTCTAAGACCAGACCAGTGAGACCTCAGCCACCGCCCCCCCCCCCTGCAGGGTGTCCAGTCCAGCCCAGCCAAGCTGGAGTCCAGGGAGGCGGAAGGAAGTTTGGAAAGAAGTCATTCTCGAAGCAAGTGAGCACACTGACGGGAGGGCCCGGGTGCCCGTGGGAGGACCTGCTTCTCCCAGGAAGGGAAACAGATTGGCCAGGGGATGGCAGGACTCACCTGACACCAAACCCAAAGGGGACTTCCCAGGGGCTGCCTGCTCTTGGCACGGGCCCTGGGGGACCTCACTGGGCCCTAACTGCCTCCACCCTTCACCTCGATCGTGGCTACCAGCAGGCAAGAGAGCGGAATGAAATACCTCGGAATTCTCCCGCAACGAGTTTCCAGTAACTCCACGCCACGCTCATTCACTCGCTTCACAAAGGTTTATTGGGCTTGTCCCGGGTGCCGGGATCAGGTCGCTGCCAGGGATCCCGACTGGGCCACCAGGGGAGAAGCAAGGCCTGAGCAGCAGCAGCCACGGAAAACCGTGGTGAGACACACGCCTACCGAGGCCGCGCGAAGGAGGAAGGATGAGGGCTGCCAGAAGAGGACTTGAGTGGAGGCTCAGAGGCGGGACAGCACCCAGGAATTTCCGGAGTACCAAGAGGCCAACGGAAGGGGAGACCGAGGGTCAGTGGCCAAGGACGGCTGTGACCCAGGGCTCAGCCAGGACACTCAAAGTTCTCCCCCACTTTTGGCCAGGCGTGCAGGCTGGTTCGTCTCCCCCAGAAGCCCTAGGAGGCCTGAAGGGTGGCCCAACCCGTCCCCATGGGAAGTCTCCGCAGCAACATCCCTGGTCACCGGGAGTTGCTCACCGGGCCCACCATACACCCACCAAGCCCTGCACAGGACGCTGCGGGGGAAGGGTCAAAGCCTGGGCAAACCCCCCAAGGCCTCCCTTGCACAGGGAGACAGCCCCACGAGAATGGCCTGGGAAGCCAGGAGGCCACCCAACCTTCCGTTGGCTGAGCCAGGCCCCCAATGCCTGTCCCCTCCCCCCCACCAGCCCCTTTCAAGTTGCTCCTGGACACCAGATGG